TCATCTTTTACTGCTTCTGTCTTATCCAAGCAGTTTACTATATCTTGACTACCTAGTAACTTGAGCAAATTTTTACATTCATCTCCTTTCTTTTCTCATTTATCTTGTAAGAAGTGGTGCTTGTGGATGGTAACTAACTGCTCTTTAATATATCTTTCTCAGTCCCTGGAATTCTTGCTAAAATCCAGATGAAATCTATACTACTCTCCTAAAACAGTGCTGTAGGTTTTACATTTTCAGTAGAATCATGCAAACCCCCCTTAGCATGACATACAATGTCCTTGATCACCTGGCCCCATCCTATCATTGTAAGATCATCTATTCAGGGGCTAGAGTATAGCAGGTAGGGCATTTGCCTTGCACGCAGCCAACTTGGGTTCGATCCCGTCATCCCATATGTTTCCCTGAGCACTACCCCAAGTAATTTCTGAATGCAGAACCAGGAGTAACACCTGAGCATCATCGGGTGGAGCCAAAAAACGAAAGAAAGAAAAAAAAGAGATCAACCATTCACTACGTAACTATCTTTCTATGTTTGGTGTTTGTTTTCTCTGCCTGGAATACTCTTTTGTCTTGTTTGAGAATTTGAATTATTCTTTAAGATAATTGTTATTTATATAAAACTTGCTGGATGTCAAGTATTAGGTGAAACACCTTCTTTACTTTTCAGGAAAAAAATAGTTTTCTCAAGGCATCAAGAAAATAGTTGATTTTGGATTGGAATCAGTTCAGTTGGCAAAGCTCATAATCTAATAATACTAGGGATGTTCCTCTCACTCTTCATTACAACTATCACTTTTCTGAGTACCAATACTAGCTTTTCACTTTACTATAAAGAAGCAGATATACTGGAGAGATTAAGCATACAGACTCTGATGGCAGATTCCCAGGGTAGGAATCCTGGATCTGTAGCTTCTCAGATGGAAGGCTTTGTACTTCATTCTCTGTCTTTGAAACAACAGTGGTGTGGAGTGGGACAGCTAGTATTTAAGGGAAGAAAAAATATTTTATTTTTGGTTGTGGTATCACACCTAGTGATGCACAGGAGTCGCTCCTGGTAGTGCTGGGGATAAAACTTGGAGCTTTGACATGAAAAGCACATGCTCTAGCCACAAAGCCACGTCTTCCTGGGAAGGTGGTGGTAAGACCAGAAGACACAGCATCTATAATACTTCTTTCAATATTTATTTATGATTTAGGAGCAGCTGTCCTATCTTAGTTTAAAACCTCTTCTCTCTCACATATAAAAATCTTGAATGCTGTCTCTTTTTGTTTTCGAGCCATGCCAGGCAATGTTCAAAGGTTACTCCTGGCCTCGCGCTCAGGAATTATTCCTGGCAGTGCTCAAGGAACCATATGGGATGCTAGGGATTGAGTCTGGGTCGTCTGCATGCAAGGCAAGTGAGAAGAGTGAGAAGAATACTGTATTCCATGACCACTAAATAATCTATGCATTTCTCAAAAAACTAGACATTATATTACATTGTATAATTGAAGGGCAAACACTAAAATCTAGTCAATCATAAATTTGAAGTCCTTCATAAGGTAAAGGTAAAGGCCCTCCCGTTGATCATCGATTTGCTTGAGCGGGCCCAGTAACGTCTCCATTGGAGACTTTGTTGTTACTGTGTCTGGCATATCGAATACTCTCGGTAGCTTGCCGGGCTCTCCGAGAGGGGCAGAGGAATCGAACTCGGGTCGGCCATGTTGGCCACGTGCAAGGCAAACGCCCTACCCGCTGTGCTATCGCTCCAGCAAGTCCTTCATAACTAATTTTATTGGTCTAGAAACAAATCTAGTTATCAATAACTGCATTTCTCACACCTTTAGTCTCTATTGACCTGAAACCATCTAACCTTTTTCCTGAGTAAATTTTTCTTACAGTCACAGCTCATCTGATCCTGTGAACCCTGCCAGGTGTGATCCCTAAGCACAGAGCCAGGAGTATGCCCTGAGCACTGCTTGTGCGCCCCCAAAACCAACAAAATGAAAGAAAAGGGACTGGAGTAATAGTACAGCAGGGAGGGCATTTGCCTTGCATGTGACTGACTCGGGTTCGATTCCCGGCATCCCATATGGTCCCCTGAGTACTGCCAGAAGTAATTCCTGAATGCAGAGCCAGGAGTAACCCCCCGTGCATTGCCAGGTGTGATCCAAAAAAGCAAAAAAAAAAAAAAAAGGAATAAAAAAAAAAAGAAATGGGAATGATGATAGCATTGACCTTAGTATTGCTGTGAGGAGTAAATGTGTCAATGTTAAGGTTTCCCTGCAATGCTATCACATAGCTCTGACCCTACAGACACAGCCTCTTCTGTGTTCTGGCTCTAACTAGATTCTGCCTCCTGGGGCAAGGGACTTCCCCAGTCACCTTCCAATCTTCCAGCACGCTGCTTGGCAGACCTTTCACTGGAGTGGGTGTGCCATAAACATTTGTCAAACTGAATTGTGTCTGTGGGCTCTCATGCCAGACAGTGAAGCATTTACAAGTTAATGATTTATACTGTACTTCAATTACGAGCCTTTTAAAGAAAGTGGTTACTGATGTCAGGCTGGCCTTCTGTTCACATTTTTTTTTTGAAATCTAGGCCACTACCACTTGGCTTTCATGAGCTGGAAGACTTTTTATTCTTTCACTTGCCCCAAACTTCCTTCACTAGGGCCATGATTTTCCTTAAGTGGGTGGGGAAAGAGACACCTGTCACAAGATGCACAACTTCTTAAGGACACCTGGAAGCATTTTGCTATACAGTTTCCCTTTGCTGAGCAGTGATAGCTATCAGGAACTTTGGGTTTCACTGCTAGTGATGGGGACTCCACACCCTCCCACTGGATAGTGGGAGGCCAGGAGGACGCCCAAGGGGGCACAGACTGAAGTTCTGTCCTACTGTTTCATGACTTCATGCTTGTTTAGTTGCGTTTCAAGCTTTTCTCACCAGCAGAGGCTACTGGATCAAGACAGCAGGAAGAGGTTCCAAAGGGTGTGAAAATGGTAGAAAAGGAAATATTTGATGAGTGGTCACCTGGGGGAGTCATTGATTGAGATTATTGCAAAAGTGCACAGGAGGCGACTGAGCACTGATGGGGGAGGGTGGTGTCTGTGCTGAATTGGGGATTTGTTTCTGCTGAGCGCTGTGGTAGATGCAGCCTGGATCATGGGAGAAGAGCCACAGTCAAAAGGCTAAAATGACTTACTTGCACTTACCCTGTCATCACCTCAGCAAGCGCCTGCAGATTGTTTAGGCTTTCCTTTGAATTCAGCCTGAAATTCCTTCTCTCAATCACCAGGCTCTGTCTACTCTCCCTCCTGAGGGCCTTCCAAACCCAAGTGCACTTCTCCATGGGCACTTCTCTGAAGGATTCCAGGTCTCATCTGGTCACTGTTGCCAGTCTCAAGTTGGAGCCCATTCGCTCCATTCTGTCTCATGGGTTTTCTTGAAAAGAGCTTATTTAAAACCCACCAATGGAGCTGGAGCTGGGCACTTGCCTTGCATGCAGCCAGTCTAGGTTCAATCCCAGTCACCCCAAATGATCCCCTGAGTCTTCTAGGATTTATCCTTGAGCACCACTTGGTATGACCCAAAAGCCAAAAATAAATAAATGTATATATATAAATAAAGTAAAATAAAAAATCCATCAGTGATTTTCCAAGGCCTTCTCTGTTAAGAGCTCTCTAGAGTCTGGTTTCTGAAGCTCGGCTAATTCTGATCCTGCCTCTCTGACTACCTCCACATCTCTGAGTTCCTTCATATGAGTAACCCGTATGCAGTGCCCAGAACCCCCAACCCATAACCGCAACCTGTCTACCTGCTACTTGTGCCCAGGTTGGACAAGGTTACCCTTACTTAGGTTCCCATAACTCTACCACAGTATTTATCATAATCTGTTTCAAATCTTTAACTGGTAGCACCTAGACCTGACGTATGGTAGTTGCTCAATAAATGCTTCATGAAGGGATGGATTACTTCTTTACCAGTCATATGAGGGTACAGTTACAGTTCAAGGAGGGGACCTTGAAATCTCTGGCTTCAAAAGAAGGAAATGCAAAAACTATCACACCCACGTCAGAGGTAGAATTTCACACTTGAAATAGGATTGTAAGGTTTTGTGTTTCTTCAAGCTAAAGTACTAAAAGTCTGTTTTAAAACTAGTTTAAACGGTCTTTTCCGCGGTGATTATTTGGTTTGTTCAAGAATTATACTTGCCAAGCAAGCGATTCCTGAAGTGTCACATCTGCAACTTCCAAAACGCCATTCTGAGGCCTCAGTGAAACAAACAACTCGCTCAGATGAGGTGTGAGAAGGGGGAAAGTGGATTATGAGACAAAATTTGCTCACGGCGGGTGAGACCAGCGGTAATTAGATCAATTAGTCGACATCGGGTAGATCTAATTGCTGGGAAATGCCAATAACCAGGGAGGACGCGAAAGATAGATACAGGAACACAAAGGGAGCCTGGCACAAAACCTGTTTCCGCTAAACTGAGAGACCTCTGCTCTCAACACAAAAACTCGAAAATGGAATAGGAAGGTTTTCTGCCTTGTGAGGTAGAGAACCTTCTGCCCCTCCCAGCGTCCCATTCTCTCCTGACTCTAGCGGGGCGCGCCGATCCCGTGCAAGGGTGCGAGGTGGGAAGGGCGTCCTCCGGCTCCCAGTTGTGCGGTGCTCGAGCGGAGCCGTGAAAAGCTCCGCCGAAGCTGGAAAGGGAGCCAGTCATGCCACCCGGAGGAAAAGGGGTGAGAATTTAAGAAGCAAGCCTTGAAGACGAGTCTCTGCAGGCAGTCGAGAAGCGGAGCCACCGCCAAAGAGGAAAAGGGGAGGAGGGAAAGGCTGCGCGAGCGAGCGAGGGACTAAACTCCGCGCGGACGCCGGGCGGAAAAGTAGGCTCCGAGGGAACAGGTTGCTTTAAGCAGAGCCCCGCCCCCTGGCGTGACGCCGCGGCAGGCGAGTCCGCCATTGGCTGCGGCCGGAGGGCGGGATAGGGTTGCTAGGCGCGGAGAGGATCCGGCGGGTCCCGGCCCCCGGAGTGCGGAGCTGCGGGAGCCGAGCCGGTCCGAGCGGCGCTGCTGGAAGATGGCGAGCGGCCGAGACGCGCGGCCGCCCTGGCGGTCCGAGCGCCTTCCGCTGCTGCTGTGCCTGCTGTTGCTGCTGCGGAACCCAGGCCAGGCAGCGCACATCAAGAAGGCGGAAGCGACCAAGACGACCTCGGCGAATGCGGGTGGCGAAGCCGCCGAGGGCCAGTTCGACCGCTACTACCACGAAGAGGAGCTGGGCTCGGCGCTGAGGGAGGCGGCGGCCGCGGGTCCCCCGGGCCTGGCCCGCCTCTTCAGCATCGGCCGCTCGGTGGAGGGCCGGCCGCTGTGGGTGCTGCGTCTCACGGCCGGCCTGGAGCCGCCGCCCCCTGACGGCGCATCGGGGCCCGACGCGGCTGGGCCCCTCGTGCCCGGCCGGCCGCAGGTGAAGCTGGTGGGCAACATGCACGGCGACGAGACCGTGTCGCGCCAGGTGCTGGTCTACCTGGCCCGCGAGCTGGCGGCCGGCTACCGCCGCGGAGACCCGCGCCTCGTCCGCCTGCTCAACACCACCGACGTGTACGTGCTGCCCAGCCTCAACCCGGACGGCTTCGAGCGCGCCCGCGAGGGGGACTGCTACGGCGGGTCCGTCGGCCGTGACAATAGCCGCGGCCGCGACCTCAACCGCAGCTTCCCCGACCAGTTCAGCCCCGGGGAGCCGCAGTCCCTGGACGACGTGCCGGAGGTGCGCGCCCTCATCGACTGGATCCGCAGGAACAAGTGAGTGTGCCACCGCCCCCCCCCTCCACGGCACCCCGCCGCCGGCCACGCGCGACCCTGGGACCTGGTTCTGCGCGGTGGGGGGGGGGGGGCGCGGCGAGCGTGGCGCGGGTGCGGGGACAGTGCCGCCCGGCCGCCTGCCCCTGCAGCCCTCCGAAAGGAGACTGTCGTTCGTTGGAGGGGAGACTCCCTTCCTTCACTCGAATGGCAGAAGAGACCTCAAAGCTGACCTGGGTCCGCTCGTTCATTTTCTAATAAGCGGTTACTCATCGCTCCTGTTGCTGTAGGCGCCCTGCTGACACCTATTTCGTGCCCCGCATTATGTCACCTTATGTTGGCCACGGCATGATGAGACCGACACCGTTAAATATCTTTGCTTTGCATTTGGGGAAGTGCAGGGTTTGGTTGGTGAGATCATGTACGTGGGCTCACGTGAAGTGGGCACCTGCGACACTCTGGGCAGTTCCTAGATCCCTGGGCAGTTCTTGCAGTCAGGAGGAAGGCTGGAGCCCACAGAGAGACAGAGAGAGAGAGATTACTCTGCAGGGGTCTTGCTCCGGATTATTTGACAGAATAATCAAGAGGTTCTTTTTCCACTCTATGCTATGACTTAGCTAGAGAGCTTATACAGTATAAGAATTTGCACAGAGGTGTAGGTTGTCTGTGAGTTTCTTCATTTTAGACACCCTGAAGGATTTCTGATGCCATTTGTGCATTTTTCTAGTGGGCCAGAGTTGAGCGATCTCAGGGTAACAGCCACAGTTAGAGACTTAAAATTTTTTAAACCAGAACCTTGAGGACCTCTAGAAGTCGGTGCAGAAGATCGTAGAGATAAGTAAAGATCTTATTTACATACCTACCCAGTGAAGCTTCATAAGAGTTGTTCCTCCTGGCAGAATGTTTGGGCTGCTGAAATAACAGTCATTTCTGTGAGGGAGGTAGAGTTTGAAGTAACTCTTGAAGGATGTAGGATTTTCAGTGAAAAGGAGGAAGTGAGGACCATAGGAAGAGTGATTTACTCTAAAATGTTTGAAATGCGTGTGCACCCTCTTCGCCCCTTCCCACCCAGCCACTTTGCCCTGCAGTCCCACTTATTACTTGTCTTCCTAAGACTTGTGAAGCAATAGTTTAATGTTTTTCTTTTGATTGGAAGATTTCTGAGTGACAGTTAAGACAAAAGTAACAACAAAGAAATTTCTCTCTGGGACTTGAAATGATTTCTTCTAGGATATTTCAGTCATGTAGCAGATCGAGAAAGTTTATGGGCATTATGACAACTCTAGATGTTATTATTACCTTCCATCTTTCTATATTCCTCCTTTTAAAGAGCCCTTATAGATTATTTTATCTGTACTTTCTGGGAAGACATTTCTTTTAAAGAGTACAGTGTCAAAGCTGGATATTTTCCTAGGAAATGAACATATTTAAGATCAAGAGCTGTAACAGCCAGGGATTTACTGAGATGATTATGTAAAGCGTACTGTTTGCTTTGCTTAAATGAGGCATTTCTAAAATGGGGAGACAGCACCATCACTGGCACTGCATGGTCCCCCTGCATAACTGCTGGGTGTGACCTAAAAAAATAAACTAAATTGTAAATACCTCATCATCACCCTTGCAGTAGTTTACATTCTGTGATTAGATTTTCTCTTACTATTTCCTCCTTCTTTGTGACCAGAAATGATCCTGTCTTGATCCTAAATATAGAACCTCCCTGAGATTATCCTGAAAGTAAGTTTACTATACTGGGTGAAAAGTACAATCAACCACCCTCATTCTTCAGAAATTAATTTGATTCTTCAAAAAATAATTCTTTAACTATTAGTATACTGCTTATTAGTTAATAAGCTTATTGCTTATTATCTAATGCTTATTAATCAAAACAGAGGACACTGAATAAAATAAAGAGCACAACTATAAAATTTGAGATTTGTGCCCAATGAATCCATTTTGGAAATACAAAAACTGCAACCATTATTCTATCAGAAAATTACCTTTTTTTCAGGCTTTTTTTTTTTTAAACCAAAGATCATTTGAACAAAAATCTTTTGATATTCCATTTGCTCAGTTAATTTTGAAATCAATTTTGTTATTTTAGATATGTAAAAGTTTAAGATTTACTCCAACCTTCTTTGGAATGTGAAGTTTATTTTATATTGTTTCACTATATACATCATCCAGTGGATGTTTTTGTACTTTGATATTTGAGACACAAGCTTAGGAAAATAACAGTTGATTTATTTTTACACACGTCATACCCAGCAGTGATTGTAGGGCCTGGGATTACTCCCAGCAATATACCACTTGGTCAAGTGCATGGTGGCCATCAGGGCTATATGAGATGATGCTGGGGGTTAGGCATAGGGTGCTGGAGATAGATCTCCGGGCCTTGCACATGCCAAGTATTACATCTGTGCTGTAACACTTGAGCCATCTCATCAACTCCAAAATAGTTTATCATTTAGTGGGCACCTACCCTTGGGCACATTAGATTTATTTAATTACATGCTCCCTGGAGTGATAGCACAGAGGTAGGGTGTTCGCCTTACAAGCGGCCAACATGGCCGACCCGAGTTCGATTCCTCCGCCCCTCTCGGAGAGCCCGGCAAGCTACCGAGAGTATTCAATATGCCAAACACAGTAACAACAAAATCTCCAATGGAGACGTTACTGGGCCCGCTCGAGCAAATCGACGATCAACGGGAGGGCCTTTACCTTTACTTTACCTTAATTACATGCATTTTTAATTTAATTACATGCATTTTTAGACTTTACTAGAGCAGCATGTTAATTATTTCTTGGTACATTTATGAAATACATCATATTGTTGGGGGTGGTTGCAGACTACTTGGGCGAGGAACTTGTATCTATCCAGTTTGCCACATCGTTCAAATTTTGTTTTCCCAAACATCAAGTTCTCTTAATTTTTAAAAACTGTCTAGAAGATACAGTACAACTAACCCAGAGATCAACTTTGTAATCGTTCTAGACTCTTGATTTATCATACTTTATTTAGCATCTGCTTTCAATCTTATATGAGAACTTGCATATGACATTGAAGTCATATGTGAGAAACACATGATAATAGAGTTGCATGAAAACCATAAAGTACATTTTGGATAAAATTGAATTGATGAGTTAAAGAGAGAGTAAGTATAGGGGCTTAGGTGCTTGTCTTCCAAGTTAATCGAACTTAATTCCAGTTCAATTGGTGGCACCCTATGTGGTCCCCTAAGTAGTCATTGCCAGGTGTGATCCCTGAGCACAGAGCCAGGAGTAGGCCCTGAACACAGCTGAGAATGTGGCCAACAAAATTGAATTGCTATAAACAGTTGGCTTGAAAAAGATTAAAAGCAGCAATCTTTGAGCTACAGTGTTTGGTTTCACTCTATCTTGACATCCTTATAAGGGTGGCAGTTCTTCTTTTATATGTAACAAGAGAAAGGAAATCCAATGATTGAACTCGATCACTGAAGTAGATTTCAAACATTTTATTGTTCTAAATGCATTGGTCAGGCCATCTTATTGATATCACTGAGAGCTGTGTTCTCGGAAATGTCAAAGTGGAAAACAGCATTTAGTGGAGATTCTGAGAGTGAGTGAGTGAGTGAAAGATAAGTAAGGTAGAGTTAAAACTTTAAACCTGTTCTTAGTTTTTGTTTTTTGTTTTGTTTTCCCCTATATCATTTTCCTTCCTAGGGACTAATAGAAGTAGGGAATAGACTGATTGTCTCTAAGTCAATGGTAAAGGATAAGCAGAATATGGATAATCTCCAGAGGAAAGAAGATTTATTAAACAAGTTATAAAGCTATTGTTACGCTCAAAGGTGTTGTTTGTGTATTCTCATTTAATTCTTACAATAACTCTGGGAAGCAGGTAGCTTTAATACCCTCTATAGCTAATTACAGATGACAGAGAAACTAGGGCTCACTGTATTTGCAGGCAGAAACTTTTGATCCTCTTATACTGCTGATGATGAGCAACAGGTCTGGGAGAGCAAACTCTTCTTACCCAGGTTTGCCTCTCTCCAAAGTCTGTGCATTATTGTTGCTGTGCCAAATGGCATTATCCTCTGATGTCTGAAAAGTGCTAATTATAATTATATTCACTTTTAAAGTAGTCTCTTCAAGTATTTAATTCTTGTTCTTATTGGCTAAATTCTATCTTCTATGAATAGGCTGTATTATAAGTAATTTTTATTGCTTGATCTCCTCTGGGATGGTACTAGTCACTTTTTTCCCCAACTTTTTTATTGCATCACTGTGAGATAGATCCTTACAAAGCTGTTCATGATTGGATTTCAGCCATACAGTGTTCCAACACCCATCCCTCCACCAGTGTACATTTCCCAGCTCCAGTGTCCCCAGGTTTCCTTCCCATCCCCCCATCCCCCACATCCTGCCTGCCTCTATGGCAGGTGCTTTTCTTCTCTCTCTCTCTCTCTCTCTCTCTCTCTCTCTCTCTCTCTCTCTCTTCTCTCTCTCTCTCTCTCTCTCTCTCTCTCTCTCTCTCTCCTCCTCCTCCTCCTCCTCCTCTCCACCCCCCTTTTGGGCATTGTGGTTTGCAATATTGATACTGAAAGGTTTATCAAGAATTCAAGAATATCCCTTTACCTACTTTTAACCCTCAGATCTTGTCCGGCGTGATCATTCAGTTATTATTGTCATACTGATCTCTTCTCTATCTTACGTACTTTCAGCCCCACACACACTTGTGGTTAGTTTCAACCATTGACCAGTCCTCCTAACCCCTGTTTTCCCTGAACATGGATATTCTTCTTCTACTATATATATATTTTTATATACCACAAATGAATGCAGTCATTCTATATCTGTCCACCTCCTTCTGACTCATTTCACTCAGCATGATACTCTCCATGTCCATCCATTTATAGGCAAATTTCATGACTTCATTTTTTTTCTGACAGCTGCATAGTATTCCATTGTGTATATGTGTCATAGTTTCTTTATCCATTGTCTGTTCTTGGGCACTCGGGTTGTTTCCAGATTCTGGCTATGGTGAATAATGCTGCAATGAATATAGGAATGCAGATGGTGTTTCTGCTGTGTGTTTTTGGGCCCCCAGAGTATATTCCCAGAGGTAGTATCGCTGGGTCAAATGAGAGCTCAATTTCAAGTTTTTGTTTGTTTGTTTGCAGTCACTCTTAAAAATTATTTTTCAGGGACTAGAGAGATAGCACAGTGGGTAGGGCATTTGCCATGGAGGCGGGTGTGACCCAAAAACAAAACACAATAAAATGAAAGTAGAATAATAATCTTTCAAGGGTTTACAGTGGGTGGGATGCTTGCCTTGAACGCGACAGACCCAGGTTTGATTGCTGGCATTCCATATGGTTCCCTGAGCTCCTCCAGCAATGTTCCCAAGCACAGAGTGGCCACGAGTAAGCTCTGTACACCACTGGGTGTGGCAAAAAGAAACAAAACCCTCTTAAAGTAGACATACCACATGTTTATATTTCTTTCAAGCATATAGAAATAAATGTTATATTTTATCTCCTCCTTAGAATTTGTATAGATCAGTTAATTTCAGCCACAAAAAGCAGCAGAAAAATCCAATTTTGGGTACAAAAGGAAAGTGTTTAATCTCTATGTCTAGTAATGAGTAGTGAGGGAAAGATGTAGAAATAGAGCTTCAATATGTTTTTGCCTTTAGTGTTCACCAAAAAAGGAGTTTTTTCAGTATCTCTGTGTGTCTAGATTTGACCAAATTGTAAAATGGTTCACTTAAAAGTAGAAAAATGAAAGTTTCTATTATAAGAAGCAATTTTATCTCAGTGTTAATTTATGTTAGAATGGCTGATTTAGAAACTCTAGGCTTTGAAGATAGCAGCTTGTACAATGGTGCTGTGGCACTTTTGTCTTTTATGTGGTGTCGCTTTTGTCTGAAAGCAGCTAACTGTGTCAGGTGCCCCCTCTTATCCCCAGTCTTCTCAGCTGTAGCTTCTCACTAGAAAATATGAAGTTAGTAGATAGGGAACTGGAATGAGGCCAAAACACATTGCGTTTAAATTAAATGTCTTATTGTGATTTTTTATAGTAAATATAAAAGGCATTAAAGTTACTGATTTAATTTATGTATTCAAACACACAAGTCATGCATTCTGTGAATTTGCCTATGAAATATACTTCAACTATGGGTTGAGCTATATGAAATTGTTGTTTTTGTGGGTAGCAAGCTAACATTGTTCAACCTCTAATACATAAATTTGGATTTCCTAGGTAAGATGTGTCCCAAAACATGATTTTTATACTGTTATTCAGCTGCTTTTTTCAATGATGGGAAATTCTTTAAAGTCACTTGAAATTAACTTGAATTGTAAAAATGGTTCGAATTGTGTTCAACTAATAATGTTTTCTTTCATTTTTATTTTTATTACTGTGATTGGTTGATCTGCTTATAACATTTGATAGACTTGGTCTCATAGAGGTATATCCAAGTTCATTTGATACTGTAGGACTTTTAGATAAAGGTATTTTCTCAGTCTTTATTTATTCTCTGTAATTTGCATGTGTTTTCAAAGGTTTGTGCTTTCTGGAAATCTGCATGGTGGCTCAGTGGTTGCAAGCTATCCTTTTGATGATTCTCCAGAACATGAGAATGGAATCTATAGTAAAACCTCAGATGATGAAGTCTTTAGATACTTGGCAAAATCCTATGCCTCAAACCACCCCATAATGAAAACTGGTGCGCCACATTGTCCAGGAGATGAAGATGAGACTTTCAAAGATGGGATTACCAATGGCGCTCATTGGTATGATGTGCAAGGTATGTAAAGTTCAAATTTGCTGAATATTTCTTTTGTTATTTTAGCTTTTTTAACTATTCTCTAATTGGGAAACAGGATTGGGAAGCAGAATATTATATTATATAAACAGGATATTAGTATGAAAATTTCAAACCCACAATAAAGACTACATGAATACCTATCTATATTTCCTTCATGTAAATTCACCAACTGTTATCTTAGCCCAACTGTTCTACCCTCACCTTCACCCACTTTGTCTTTTGCAAAAGCATCTAATAATAGGCTGCAGATTTCATGACACTTCACTTGTAAATATTTTAGCATGTATTTCCCAAGTCCAGGAACATTTTTATGTCTTAAGCATAAATCATTGTCAACTGAGAAATCAATAGTAATTTAGTACTGTCATCCCACATGCTGTCCATAAACCAAATTTCTCCTGCTATTCCAAAATGTCCTTTTAATCTTCTTTTCCTCCAGATCATATCTAATTATGAACATATCACATTTATAATGATAAGACACAGGTCAAATTTTCTGTCAAGATTACATAAGATCACATTACATCATATCAAGAGGCACAAAATTAAGCTGCAAATGGCCAAGTTGGATACCATGGTTAATATGATGACCCTAGTTCTTTTATGTTAAAGTACATTTTCCTTTGGTTTTTAATTTTGGGGAGAATTCTGTAATGCCTTCATGTATGCTTGTGTATGTGGTTTGTATTTTATGAAGTTGCCTTTTTAAGGGCTGGAGTGATAGAACAGCGGTAGGGCATTTGCCTTGTGCACAGCCAACCTGGACGAGCCGGGTTCGATTCCTCCGCCCCTCTTGGAGAACCCGGCAAGCTACTAAGAGTATCTCGCCCGCACGGCACAGCCTGGCAAGCTACCCGTGACGTATTCAATATGCCAAACACAGTAACAACAAGTCTCAAAATGGAGACGTTACTGGGCCCACTCGAGCAAATCGATGAACAACGGGAGGACAGTGCCTTTTTAATCAGTTAAGTGTAGGATTAAGTGGTATTATCTTCCCTCTGTTGTACAGCTCTATCACTATTGTCTGTTTACAAAATTTTTTAATCATCCCAAACAGAAACTTGAATCATTAAGCACTAACTCCCCATTCATTCCTTGCACACAAGCCATCACTATGGTCAGATTTATTTTTGATTTCTAGTAAATTTGCCTACTTGTAGATAGTTTATATAGCCAAAATCTTAATACCTGACATCCTGCACCTGGCTTATTCTATTTAGTTTAGTGCCATCAGGGTCCATAAATTTTGTCATCTACACTTCATTTCTTTTCATGGCTGAGAAATAGTCCATTGTATGCATAAATGTTTTTTTAATCCATTCATCTGTATTCTCTGGGTTAGTTCCATCTTTTGGTGATTATGAACCACTGTGCAGTTGTGATCATTAGTCTACAAGCATGCGTTGGAGTTCTGTTTTAATATTTTTGATTTATATTCAGGAGTAAGATGACTGGGTCATCTGGTAATTACCTGTTGGTTTAGCTTTTGAGAAACCACCAAATTGTTTACCACAACATACAAGTTTACATTCCCATTTGCAATGTACATCAGTTGCCATTCCCTATATAATGCTACATTTAAAAGGATTGCTTAAGTGAACTTGAATTATTTGCTTTTTCTTTTTAAATGTTAGGAACCTGAGCACAGCTATTGAATTTTTTAATCTTTCATATTCTTTGAAAAGTAACATTTTTTGTTTTTATGTGCAGCCCTTGACTATTTGATCAAGAGTGAATTGAAAGGGGCTGGGTGAAGGGCTCAAAGGACAGGTGCACGTATTTTTTGTGTGTGAGTCTTGGCTTTGCCTGGCTGCTTCAACATGACTGCAGACCTGCACGCTCCTTTTAGGGCCTGTGAATAGTCCTAACTTCTGCTGAAACATCATTATTGTGAGTGCTAAAGCTGAACTTATTCATGGAGCAAGACTTCTATTTTGTGTTTTTAAACAGTTTGCTGATTTGTATATTTTTGTCTGCCATTTTATATTTCTTCACAGTTTTGAAGTCATTATCAAAATAATCTTGTGGTTTAGTATATTCATTCCAGAAATAAGTTTGTGAAGCTAAATTTTAGGTCAGCTTAAACAAATTTTCTTATACTGTGGCTCTCCATTTGAGGCATGCACTTTGCCACTTTGTTACATCCCTGTCTTATTTAAAAGTTGCCTTCTTTCAACTTAGAAGATTTTCAGAAAAGACAAGAAGCCCTGGAGTTTACCTATACTTGAAATTATATTATCAAAGATGTCAATATCTAGAGGTTTCTTTTGGGTAGAATTTGGTTGTACTCTATTTTCATGCAAGTAGAAGGACTCTAGAAGGCAAGTGAATTTGTGGGTAGAGGGCTTTTAAATCCTATGTGAATCCCAGCTTGGTTTTGGTTGTTGACTCTGTTTGTGTTTGTGTATGAGAGAGAGAGGGGGGGGGGGGAGAGGGAGAAGGAGAGTGAGGGAGGGAGGAGGGAGAAGGAGAGCGAGGGAGGGAGGAGGGAAAGGGAGAAAGAGGGAGGGAAAGAGGGCAAATTATTTCCCAAAGCTCCCCTTATAGGATTATGAGTCTAAGAGTAAAATACTTATCTGAGCTCCTCACCATGTCTACTTCTCTCTGCTAAAATTTCTACTTTCTGAAGGCGGAGACTTTGTTTTATTCAGTTACATAGGACCACGCCCACTGTATAGATGGTGAACACAGTGTCTCTTGAATTCTTGAGTAAATGAATTCTTGGCATATGAAAAATGAGTACAGCTTCTTTTTTTTTTTTTTTAACTCTGCTGCTTCAGTGAACAAGTACTTTGCCTGAACTCACTAATACAGCTCTCAGTGTACTTGCATTTCAGTAAAATACTAGTTTTGGTTACTCTATGGTAGAGCTGACTTATTTTCAAATTCTCTGTAGGAACAAAACACCTTACCGGTAGCATGTGATACATTATCCCTTAGTCCTTACCTATAAGGGAAATGTTTCATGACCCCCTCTATACTCGAGGCCAACTGTAGTACCAAATCTTACTTTTACTGTTTTTGATTTTGAGGTAGAGGGCAGGGGGAACCTACCAATAAGTGCTCAGGAGGCCTGGGGCCCCTTCTGAAGATTCTCAGTCTACCCTGCCCTGTTATTCTCTGTGGGGGCTCTGCAGTGCTGTGCGGTCTGAACCCTTGGAATTAACTGGGCTATCCCTTCTGTGCTTCAGGCCTCCAAGGCTACACCCAGGAGTGGCAGGGCGTGGAGGCCTCCAAGGCTGCATCTGGCATTTTGCAGGGAACCATATGGTGCTGGGGATCAAACAGAGTTGACAACCTACAAGGCATTTGCTTTAACCCCTGCCTTTCTCTGGCCCCTAATTACTGTTTTTAAAAAATACTATATAAAAATTTACTGTTTTTAAAAAATACTACATAAGTGAAACCACAGTGAGGGACTTAGGAAGTATTTAGACTTTTTCTTTTGCCCTGACGTGTTTATTTCCAGAGAATTTCATGTGTTTATCCTAGGTCACCCTCTTTCATGTCACCTTCTTTATTACCTGCAACCCTGGAAGAATATTGAGATAGGAAATTGTTCAGGAACCTATATTAGATCACATGTTGCTTACTGGAGGCTCTGCAATCTATGACTGGTTAGGACAGCTGTCACAAGGCTTTAATGTCTTTTTAAGGCACTGCCAACTTGGGACTGAGTCTTTATCTCCTCTGGAAGAAAATGTTCTTTGTAATTACTAAGCTTCCTTCCTTCTCCCTTTATACAGGCAAGAGTTATGAAATGTGACCAGATAAGTTTTCTTTCAGTGTTTGGCTCAAAACTCCTTTAACCATGTGGATAGCCATTCTTGTTATAAAGTGGAGGGCCCACTGAATAGCATTAATGTGCTTTGGAGTGATAGCACAGCAGGTAGGGCATTTGCCTTGCACGCGGATGACCCCGGCCGACCCGGGTTCGATTCCTCCACTCCTCTCAGAGAGCCTGGCAAGCTACTGAGAGTATTCTGCCCGCACGGCAAAGCCTGGCAAGCTACTCATGGCATACTCGATATGCCAAAAACAGTAACAAGAAGTCTCACAATGGAGATGTTACTGGTGCCCGCTCGAGCAAATCGATGCAAACGGGAGGACAGTGATACAGTGATTTGGCTTGAAGTACTGAAGTAGATTGCTGACAAAAGGGAAGAGGTTAGGGAAAATAATTGCCAGATTATTTTACGTAGCCTGTGAAGTTAGTTGGGTAGTTTGGAGGAACATTTCATATGTCATTAAACCGGGTCTGATAGCTCAGAATGTAACTCAGCAAGAGAGCCCTTGCTCTGCATGTGTAAGACCCTGTGTGTGAGATCCAGTTCAATCCCTGGAACTGCAGAAAAACAAATAGCATTATAGATTCATTCATAAGATACCAGAAAATTGGAATCTATTTTAAAAAAGAGAGAGAGAGGGAGAATCAAATGAACAGTATACAACTGAAAAATTGCAGTATCTGATATTAGGAAATAGACAAATTCACAAATACAGTAGGAGATATTAAATGTGCCTCAGTAATTATTTGATCATGAAGGTAAAAATATTAGTGAGAACACAGTGGATTTAAATAACATAAATAAACCAACTCACCTACCCATCTACAGAATATTGCCTTCATATCTGATTTTATCATATCTAAGAACATGTACAGAATCATATCTAAGAACAAGTGCAAAATATTGTCTTCTAATTTTCCTATAGGATTTCCTTGATGATCTGAAGTGTAGATGATAAATAATTTGCCAGTTGTCAGTGCTTATGGGAGATGGTTTGCATTTTACTAGTATTATGCTACTTTATTTTTAAATTTGTTTTCTTTTCAGTAGCATGATTTACAATATTTCTGACGATAGTTTCATGCATGGTATGGTCCAATACCACACCCTTCACCAGAATGATCCCCCTCTCAAGCCTCTCTCAGTCCCTGCCACCCCCGCCCCACCTGTGGTAAATTCAGTTTTGCA